TATACTGAAATTTATTAACATGGTTATCATACAAAACACTAGAGTAATGTGACAGTTACTTTTAGTGTATTGACTATCATGTTGAGCGGTATACGACAGGGCTCTCAGCCATAACAAAATGAGATAAAACTGAGGCACAGTTATCATATTCATATCCAGCAGTATTCCTCAATTATTTTAACATTTTACTGATATACAGGGACCAAGCCTACAAAAACAACAGAAAGTAATTTTGTTACATAAGTTCCTGCTGTATGTATGATGAAACAGTTTTATATAATCCCTGAAAGTGCAAAGCAGTCAATGAGAGACAGAAGAAATGGAAAACTCAAGTGTTTGTGGTTAGGTGAGTAAATGGGTGTGATTGTGGTGAACAGATCGCTTATGTTCAGAAAACGGGAATTTCCATCCATGAAATGTATTCGCTACTTCATATTCCACAATCAGCTGTTTATTATATTCTAACAAAGTTGATGATTGAAAGCAACTCCACGTAAAATCACAATGGGATCAGTGGATAGTGACGCGCGTGGTGTACAGTCGTCCCAACTCTGCAGAATCAAACGACAGTTAGTCTGCTGTCTGCGGCAGGGGAGCAAACTTCCGGCGGCATGCGAGAATGTGTGACTTATTAATGACCCGTCAGTGCGAGCTTCACCGGCCTGCTGACAAACCATGCAGGCAGGGGCGGGGCTTTGTGTTTATGGACACCAATCACACGCAAAAACAGACTAGGATCATACCATTACGTGAAACAAGGAAGGGGGAGGGGGCAGACATTCCAAAGACACCAAGTTAGTGGTACAGGCCGGGTACACAGAGGAGATGAGCATCTGGCTGCATTTCAGTGCGATTGGAGACCGCAAAGCTGAATGCAGAATTTATAAACTTAGGAGCTGGATAAAGTTTTGGAGGATGAAAGGTTTCACATTTCTCCTTAAACCTCATGCTCTTCTCCCTAGCAGTAGTAAATGAATTTTTTTTAAAAACTGTACCACTTATCTATCTATACTTAGGCGAGTTATGTAAACTGCTTTGAGTGCTCAGATAGATATGAGAAGGTGAAGGAAAACTAAGCACAAGAAACAAATAACTGTCAAAGCAGGCAACTTCTAAATATCTCGTGTTGCCACATGTATTGCCTTCCAATAAGTTTTAATAACCCGACAGTCCCAGAAAATATAATAGTCGGCATTTGTGTTTCCACATCACAGTCATAGTGAGATTTTTGGTATGTTGTAATAAAGTAACTTATCAGGCTTTTCCAACCAAACTCCCTC